CCTAATATAGTGAAACATAAAAATTTGCAACTGCCACCATTTTATTCTATTGGGTCTTGGCTTTAAGAAAATATATAATGTTTGGGGGTTTTAAGTAATTTTTAGGTATAAAATGTGGAATATAACATGGGTGCAAAAAATAAAGAAGGCCTCAGTCACGAAGGGGTTATTGTTGAATTAAAAAAAAAAATTTACTAAATAGTTATAAAAACAAGAAAACTGTGTCCTTAATCCAATGGCAACATAATCACTGTTGTCATTACAGGGTAGAAAAAAAAATATTTTTTATATAGTTTATATTCATAGTATAACCCTTTTTTGGCAGGCCCTGCTCCCCACTTTTAACCTCAGGTGGGTATACCCCAAAACCAAACATTACAAATTAAAATCACAAAAAAACATGCATTTTTCTGAATCCTACATGTGTGTTTTAAATTTTTTTGTTAGTTTACAGATAAAGAGATTCCTAGATTTGCAGTCTCTCTGCCCCTTTTTTAGAACGACCATTGAGATAAGATAGCAAACACACAAGGAGCGCATTATCATCAATGAGCCGTCCATGTCACAGACTTGCATTTTAAGAGGGAGCTGTAAAGCAGAACCATGATGTAGTGTTAAGCAGCATCAGTGTCGAGCAGCTACAATGTGCAAATACTGTATGTTATTACAAAATATACAAAGTACATATAGCAAATACATATTGATATTTCCTTTTTCACAATAACACTGGAAAACATCAATTTACCTGTAAATGACTGAAAATGATTAAGGAGGTCCAAAAAAGTAGGTGATCTTTATCAAAGCAGATGCACTACTCGTGCATATTTGTATGAACTGAACAGCCAAATGAAAAATATAGCTTACCGTCTCCTGAAAGCTTCAAGATGTGTTTTTAGCATCAACAGGCCTCTTTCAATGATGGTGAGACTTGACTGTGCATCCTGCTCAAGATTACTAGAAGCAATCATAAGGCTTTCCATACACTTACTAATAAACTCATGCTCTTTTTCTAGTGCTGTTTTTCCTGAAAAATACATTATTTTAATTGAACAGCACATTAATATTTATGAGATACAATACCTAAAAATGAACTTGTGACAGTTAATATATCATTCTCACCATTGATATAATAGGAGTTGATATACTGGATAGCAGCACGGCTTACATCTCCACTGTGGGCTCTCAGTGCAATGCCCCAAAACTGGTCCATGCCACACAACTGAAAGATCAAAACAGAAGAACTGTTGTATAAGTATCTTGTGTCAACTAGCTCAGAGTAAACAGAAGTATTTATATACCCTATGGTAGCCAATAAAGCACAGAATTCAGGAGGCAGTCAGGGTAATCTACAAATCAGTGGATATGAGAGTAAGAGGAGATTTGCATACATTGACATTATTAGTAAAGATTACAGAAAGCAAGGTATCAGCCATCAATTTTAACCATTTTGGTGTTCTGGCTACCAGATCCCTAGGGTTTGCCCAGCCTTACTATAAAAAGGTATCCAAAACTCACCTCAGAATTTGAGCCCCCATCATACGAGCTGGTTGCTAGACGAGCAAGATTACAAAGGTGTTGAAACAGGTTCAGTCCAGTCATACTGATCGTTTCAGGTTTAAGCTGAGGCATCTTCATAAAAAGAAAAAGAAAATCAAAACAGCACTAGCAATGTTGTACATAAAGGAGACAATTTATCTACAACGGAATTACCTTTTCCAAGAATAGATGTTTATAAGTCTCCATCCCCATGGCGTGCTGGTCCTTGCTGCGCACCTGATTTAGGAACCAGTGTAATGCATCATCATAGCATTCCAAGTCTTCTACGAGGCAGTGCCATAAGATGTCTACTTGCTCTAAACTTAGACCTGTAATGAAGAAGAAACACGTAGCAAGCAAGCTTAAAGTGACACTAAACTCAGGAGTCAAATCTTGAAAGTGCTTTCAAGTACCTTAACTATTAACAAAAATATATCTTATTTGTGTATCACTCAGCTGTAGACCCTCAAACCATCTCTGAATTGGTGCTTACACTGTCCTTCCTTCTGGAGGGTGGCTACTTTTGTTTCCTGTAGTCCCTGTGTGTGTTTTAAAGTAGTCACCGCTCCAAGCTCACTCCTGTGATGGACTACAATCACATGTTTAGTTTATTACTTTGTATTGAGATTGTAGTCCATCATAGGAACAAGCTTGTAGCAGTGGCTACTTTACAACACACACACACAGACCATGGGGAATAAAAGTAGCCCCCCTCCAGAACAGTGTCAGCACAAATTCAGAGATGATTTGAGGTCCTACAGCCGAGTGATTCACAAATAAGATACATTTTTGTTAGTTAAGGTACTTGAATGCATTTTTAAGATTTAACTCATGAGTTTAGTGTCACTTTAACAATCTCTACTATGCTCAAAATCACTACAACTATTGATCTGGCACAACAATAACTGTCTGCACTATGGAGATTCCTCCCCCCAAACAGACACTGTCTGTGCCAACCGTGTCGCAGAAAGGGAGATCTTTCCTTAAAGTGAGAAGAAATCCAACTTTAAATAGTTGTCACTTGAATAGGTGTCACTTTTTGGAAGATGCCCCCCCATAACTGTTTCAGTGTCAACAGTAACATTTTGATCTTTATTTACTCTCAGTCCCGGGGACAAGTCATCACAAATAAGGGGAATATACAAGCAATATAATAGAAAACACATACGGAAATGGTCTGGTGATCCCAGTGTTGAAAAAACGCAGGTCAAAAACTGCAGCCGTACTTGAACCTCAGCACTGTGGCTGTACCTGCAACAGTAAAATTACAAATTAGATGGTAAAAAACTAGAACAGATTTACACTGGGATTTTAACTGCTAATATAAACACATTGTAGACACATCCGTCATTTTCTACTTATTTTGCTGAGGCCTCAGGAAGTATTTTTTTCCCTTAATGCAAAAAATGATGTGTCTTTGGAGACATTCGTATCAAAGATTTTTAATTAGAATGTAGAGTATACTTAGATCTTTTTTATCTACACCTTTGTAAAATTTGTACAGAAGAATAGTTTGGGGAGTTTGGGACTGTGTGTTATGCAAGGTAAGACTCTTACCAAAATCTTTGCAAAGCAAGGTGGGAACAAAAAAAATGTTTGTCCAAAATAGTTTCCCTTTAAACATAAAAACATGAAAAAAAAATTCCACACAATATATGTGTGACAGCAAGTTAAGCTGACATTTGTATATTTCCATCATGGTCAGTAGTTGTCTTTAAATACACTTACAAAACATGTTTGTGCCTCCCATCGCGCATGGATTGGATATAGTGCACCAGATTGTCAAAGAAAAGCTTCATCATGTTGAGTTCCTTCTCCGCCCACCTAAAAAGAGAATAATATGTTTTATACACAAAGTAGTACACTGTGTAAAAAAAAAGAAGGGCAGTTACTGTGGAAACTAAAAAAACTACTGAAAATATGTACTAGGGTACTTATGAGCAAACGACAAGCATGTCTTGTTTCAGTGCACAGCACTCTCAAATGTTTCCATTTCTTTAGTTGTCATTTTAGAAGAAATATATATTATTTTTTTTTGGCCAACACCTATGATTTCACTGTTTTGTGCATTAACATTTATATTTGGATAACAGTAAATCGCTTAACAACACAGGCACGAGATGTTACATAGCCACAGTGCCTGGAAAGAACCTGGTCACACCTGATCTGGGGAAAGAGGCCAAATTACATAGACACTTTATCACAACCTCTTAAAACACCATAAAAAAAAATAGTACACCTATCTGACATGGGTGGCTTCAGCCTGGAGGAGACTTCCTGTATGCAGACTTCCTTAGGTAACTCCCACATGTGATCATGAGCCTCCATATTTAAAAGAACTTAAAGTGACATTAAACCCTCAGATTTTTTAACATAAAAACAATAGTGTAATGTGTGCCTTACTGTAATCCATGGTTGTTTCCCTTCTCTTTGCTGCTCTTCCTTTTAAATCTGTATCTGTTCTCATACTGGGCAGAACTTCTGTCTTGCAGCAGACTGCCTTGTCTCAGGAATGGCTACATGGTGTCTGTGTGTAGGTTCACAACCTGAGTCAGCACTACAGGAAGAGGCACTCAGCTGCAAAGGGAAGTTCTCCCCAAGCATGAGAAGACATGAGGATTTAAAAGAAAGAGCAGCAAAGAGAAGGGAAACTACCATGGATTGCAGTATTGTTTTATGTTAAAAAATCTGAGGGTTTAATGTCACTTTAAATCCAATTAAACAGGTGGGCTAGGGACATTTAGACTGGGGGCTAAAGCGCTAGATGATGCTGAATGTCCCCCAGCTTGAAAATGAGGCAGGCTGCATCTGGCTTGCTGCAACTTCTAATGAACACTGTGAGAAGCTTACAATGAGACATAAAATTAGAGTAAGCAAATTTACCGTGTTTCCCCAAAAGTAAGACCTACCCCGAAAATAAGACCTAGCACTATCTTCAGGGGTTTCTGTAATATAAGACCTACCCCGAAAATAAGACCTAGCACTATCTTCAGGGGTTTCTGTAATATAAGACCTACCCCGAAAATAA